GCAGCTTTGCAAGGCCTCCGCTAGATCCCGTCAGTCGCGGTGCTGTACTTTGGGTTTTTATCGGAGCTAGACACTGATCTCTGGTGATTGAGATACCAGTTTATCGCTCCAAGCCCCTCAACCTCGTTGACGACGAAGCAGAGCGACAAAGAATGGCTTCAAAAGGGGTCAGGTAGCAGAAGCATCGCGATGAGGGGTGCTGTAACAACTGTTATTAGCTGAAACGAAGTACAGTCGAATCTCATTAATTTTAACTCAAGGGGGACCGAAAATTTGTTTGAATACCGCAAAAGTTTGAATTACCGGGAGTTTTCTCCCATAGAGACACGTAGGACGGGACCTGCATGTTAGTTTGAATTATCCAGAAGTTTGAATTAAGAGATTTTGAATTAACGAGATTCGACTGTATAACTATGGTGCCTGGAGGACGTCTCCGACTGGTGTGTTTAGCATCCTATCTCGCCCATACATCAAAAGTGGTCTTGAAGTGGCAACAGATGACGTCACAGGAGCCGTAATGTTGTCGGATGTCACAACCCTGGCGGTTGGTCTCAAAAATGCTGGCGAAAATCATGAGTGAATGAATGTCACTGTTGCCGCGGCGTCCCAACTTCTGGCTGCCAAACTTTCTGTGGACTGCCACACAGGAAGCGATCTGCAGCGGAATAGACATCTGCCACACACATCACCACTGCTGGGATGCCGCGAGGATCGCGACAGGCGACAGCGCGACGCTTTCATGGTGGGCAGAAATGGAGGGACCGCTTTTTTGGACGCGGTAAGCGCACCGGTCGGAGACCAGGCACCGTGGTAGAACCGTGGTGGCGACCTTTGGATACAGGGCCTCAGATCCACCGGCGTTCCCTTTGGGCAGCAAGTTCCGACATGAACGTTGCCAACAGAAACTGAGAGACAGCTAATTTTGTTGAGGCTCGTTTATAATTTCAGTGTGGGTGTACCTTGGCGTAACTTCATTCTTATTTGTACTTTTGCATCAGTGTGGCACGTGAAAAGTCATTAGGCACACAACGGCGCAATGGGTGCAGCAGTTCCATCCCTCTGTCTATAACAATGTGGACCAAACAGCACTCTCTAAGATTTTGTACTGACGGAATCCCTTTCCTTCAAACGTGAGCACCGGGGGGAGACAGCGCAAGAAAAGGCCAAGCATTCTCGTTGGCACTAACATCACTCGGAGCTATAGGCTCGGGTCTTGAGTCATTTTCAATTTGAAGCGTCCTCGTTGTTTCGAAAACGTTGCGACTTTGCCCGTTTTATCCGAATGAAACTGCGAAGCGTAGATGATGCAAACTACCTCGATAAAGTGGACTCATAGAAAGGCATACCTGCCAATCTGTGTGAACTTTCAAATTCGTAAAACTCCAGTGGTGGCGGGGGAGGAGCAGGGGGGGGGGGGGTAGTAGTAAGATTTGACTGGTTATCCGCGGCTCGCACATATCCCTGGTTTTTATGCGAACCGACGTGGAGCTTAGTGTCAGACTTGCCACCATGCGAAAGGCTTCCATCACATGTCCACGTAGTACAGAATCCAAACTTTTCTCCCTTCTTGGATGGCACAAAGCACAGGAATTCCAACGGGAGTTCCGACATGCAGGCTTTCAGGAATACCTAAAAGTACCTCTTTTGAGGTTTGGAGTTTGCCATTGTGCAGCGAAACCACCATGACTAGGGGAATGTGAGAACATTACACGCGCAACAAATACAGATGCCTGACTGCTCGCCACGAAACTGGCCAAAGCAGCGAGGACGAACTACGGCTGAACACGTCGAACCAAAATACACCACTGGACACACGAACAAAGGCTTTAGGTTTTGGATTGGTTATTGATCCGCGACCATCAGAAAGACGGATAGTAGAAACCACGATGCTGCCAAAGACGGCACCTATCACTCTCTTGTGGCGGTGCAAGGTACTACCAGCAGCACTCCTCCTTCTAGCATTTTTTCGTAAAATTCAAAGCAAGATTTGTAACATGTAAACTTAGTCCCAACTCCTACATTTCTTAGAATTTTCGGAAGAGTTGGCAGTTTTGGAGGATGCTACAATCTTTGGGGAGAATAGGAAGGTTATTTTCTTCGCAGATAATTGCCCTGGACATGGAGCTATTCAAGGTCTGAAGTCCCTATAGGAACAGAACAATGCTACTGCAGCCCATGAACCAGTGAGTAGTTCAAGTTATCAAGTCGCACTTCCGCAACAACCCCCAGTAGGGGATGCTTACATGCGTGGATCGAGGGAAACACTACAAGGGGGACATTCTTCGTGCTGTGCTCCAAGCTTGGAGTCAGGCCAAGGATAGCACAACAGCCAACTGCTTCAGTCGTGCACGACACAAGGACTCCATTGAGGGGAAGGCGCCTATTGGAGGCATTTTAAACGAGTTCCATTTGACTGATGAACATGCACAGATTGACGGCAACGTTGCGACATGTTCTGAGAATACCGTGGCTGAAATTTGCAATGAGGAGAGTAAAGAGAATCAGAGAGACCCGGCGACAAGACAGCCGGAGGTGTTGTGACCCTTTGACAGGCAGACCCAGCGCTGCAAACACTGAAGGCCTTTGTCCAACAAGGGCGGGGTTCAGAACTTGTTACGGATAATTTCTAGGCCATGGACAACACAAGTCAAAAGGAGCGGTTGGAAGAGCTAAAATAAGCAGATTTTTTTTTTTGTTTTCTTTTACGGCCCAGTAAGTGGTCATATGTAAGGCTCCGTGTTTTCGGATAAATCCAAAAAGCTCCGAAAAACACACGCCGGTAAAGTTTTGGTAAATTCGATAAACTCCGAAAGTTTATGTGCCAATGCCACCCCCCCCCTCCCCCCCCACAAAAAAAAAGTAAAATACTTTTTTTTTCACAATTTGATTAGCATGGATTCAATGGTCCTGGGAAAATGGCACCATTATTATCTTTCAAATCTCAGACCGTTGTCAAAATGAGTCTTGCCGCTTGTCTCGTCGAGGTTGATTCAGGGCAACAGGTCATCATACTTTCGGGTCACGACAAAAGCCACTCTTGGTTTCCAGGTTGGGCCATGGGATTTGTGATTTAGAGAAAGGAGAAGGGAAGGTATGTTTTTGTAACAGTGAAAACTATGGACCATAGAGATTGTACCGGCTGCTAAAAAACGCAAGCTCTCTGCCAGCAAGCCTCAAGATGATGTGCGGTGTGATGGAGTTGGCCACATGCCGATGTGGGGTGTTAGCAGGCTCCGACGCAAATCCTGCCCACCAGGACTGAACAATTTTTCATATACATACTGCTATAAGTGCAATGTTCACCTTTGTTACAACAAAGATAGAAATTGTTTTATCGCATACCATAGCTGGAATGTTTGGCAGTAATGCCCAGTGTATCACATATGATACAATCTGTATTATATGCAAATAATGTTTGGAAAAAATAGAACTTTGTTCTGTTTGACTTCTGGAAGTGTTTTAAAAACCATCTTCCAGTAATTTTTTTCCATACTTAGTCACGTTGTGGGCATTACAGGGTTAATTTGTCCCACGACACAAGTTGCACACAAGTATTGCTTCGATAAACGTCGATACCTTAAAATCAATAAACTCCCGGGGGCAGTCGCTACGAAGCTCGTAGCCATCCCATCCTATTCCATCAATCTAGCCCGTGGCCGCGCGAGGTAGACTGGTTAAGGATGTAATAGAGAGTTTCAAATGTCACTTTTCTCTATTTAATATTGCCAACGGCAATGGCACGCTTGTCAAATTCAATTGAAGAAATTTTAATCGATACAAGCGCATTTTATTTTTTATCTGGCACACGTTTACATCCGGTTATTATTTACATATTTCTTTTCAATAGGAAACACTGCAAAATTAAACTCAGAATTTCGGAGAATTGGGAATCAAACATATCTAAACTCCGAATCTTCGAAAAAAAAAAAAAAAAAAACTCCGAAAAACACTTTCCGAATCTGACGAAAAATAAACTCCGAAAACCCGGAGCCCTAGTTATATGTTTTTTAATAAGGGTCTGCAAATACACAAATGCAGTAATCTTAAGTTTTTGTCATTGTTTCCCTTGTTTTGTAAACTGTATTTGCTACATTATCTAGCTGGCATTACATGCTGTGTGCTTGTCGACAGAGCCTCCAAGATGGCATTTAGCATTTCCAGTGCATCATATACATTTTCCAATAGAGTCGCCGACCGATTTTTCGAACAGATCATTTGAACCTGCTGGATATTTTGGACTTAAGGAGGAACCGTGGCCTACCCGATACAAATAGTGCATATTCCCGACCAATGTTTCGGACAGTTCGAAGAGAGATTTTTCGGACAAAATCGTTGGAAACGATCAGCGGGAAACACCACCAAGTGGCCATTTTGGATTTTATGTTGGCTGCAGATGAAAGGGCTTGGTTTGGCGGCGCTACTCGAGTACTACTAAGTCCTACCGTTAAGTGACGCTGCACAGCTTTTTATTTCTCTAGCTGCACGTCATTATCATCATCATTGTTACCATTTTGCTTTGTTCATGAAACATTGCAGTCGTGGACTTGCGCCTCTCATCTCGATTTCGGTAAATCGTGTTTTCGGACTACACTGGCTTGGATATCATTGCCCCATGTGCTCTTCCATCGCTGCAATGTGTCGCTAAGAAGTGCAAAACATACTTGACCATAACGCTACAAAAGAAAGGAGCAATTGTCAAGTTAATAAAAAGTAACAGAAACAGAGGCGTAACCAAAAACAAGGCGGACAGGCGTAACATGAAGCAAGGCACTATCTACTGCTTTTTTAAGCCCGCATAGACTTGATCACGGCAAGTTTTTTAATCTGGTGATTTTTCAGACTGCTGTATATTTGGACGTTTTTTTCGCTCCCTGCCAAGTCCGAAAAATTGGTCGGCGACTGTACATGCAACTCCCGATGAATGGAACACATTTCCCCAAATTCTTCGGGTTCCCTTTAAAGTGATTTAATTGTATAAGCAAACATGAACTGGTGCTTACCCCATGAGTATGGACTGCTCCCAGGCTTCTTCAGAATACATCGGAGGGTCATTTCCTGCATGCAAGAGAAGTTGGGATGTGCAGTGTTTAGGTATTGGTCATAAAATTAGACATAATAAACCATTTAACTAGATAACTCTATTAGAGGAAGGGAACTAGAAGGAAAAGCAGAGGCACATGCACCTTTGCTAGGGTGACCGTGATCCTCGGAGTAAAAAAGGGTACATAAGAGGGTGGGGGGCGAGGTAGAAAACAAAAAGCTCTGCCTCACGGAAACATAAACACGCATATTTTTACAAAGTTTTTTCATTCAGGACGCAAGTGGTTTTCTCCCACATCTTGTTTTTCCTGACGAAGAAATGTTGCCAACCGGAGCACATCAAATTCCGTAATGCAGAAAAGTCTCCCACACACGTTTACGTGAACAAAATGTGTTAGGAGATGCAACTACACTATGTTTCATAGTATGTTCATTTTTATAGCATTATGTCTATAACAAGTAAACACCCCTTCAGTTTTCTTTTATTTTCTTACTACTGATACTGCAACTGCTATGCATGTTCCTACGAAAACGAGAAATGAGGCTTCGTTGGACTAAAAAGACGGGACGGCCAAAATGAACCACTAAAACAGGACTGTCCCAGCTAAAACAAGACGTCTGTTCACCCTAACCCTAGTGCAAAAGCTCCAAGTTTACATAAATATTTCTGACCCAAATTAGGTTTGAAGCAGATGAACACATATCTAATAGGGCACAACTTGCAAAATGTGACATGCAGGCAACTGATTAACAAGACAACCTGACACACCACAGAGGTCAAAGGATCTACACATCACATCTACACACCAAAAAATGCAACAACTAAACAAAATGAAGCAAATAAAAGCATTGCTTTCACCTAGCTGCAACTTCATGGATGATAAATGCAACGAGAAAAATGTGCTCACCCGCTGACTATTTCTATATCTACATGTCTTGAACTGGCACACTTTGTCAAATGTTAGCTTTCAAGCTTTGTTTAGGACTTCGTTGTAATTACATACATATGAGGCATTTTAACGAACTAAGGAGCACTGTATTGTCAAGTCACACAGATTTTTAGCAATAAAGACACGTCTAACTGCATGGTCAAAGAGCTGGCTCGAGGACTGTGCTAGGACCAAAGGGGCTTTCTAACAAGAAAGAAATGTTTCAAGAGCAAACTGACAAACATATTTGACTCCTTTCAGAACAAAGTTTTTAGAATCACACCACTCTTCAGAGACCTACAGCTAGTGAAACAAGTTATGGGAATGCAGAAGACAGAAGGAAAAAAGGTGCACCCTGCAATGGCAATTTCTGTTCCATGATCATTGAACCCAAATTGAATGAGCAAAGTGCAAAGCATTGAACCCCATTAAAAAAAACTTTAAAAAGTAAAACCTCCTGTATAGACCTTTTCCACAAGGGCGCCGCCATCTTCAATTGTCGTCACCTCCAGTATGGGCGAAAACGTAAATTTGCCGTTGCCACGCCAACAGAAGACATTTAGGATATAAGCCTAACCGTCACACATTCTCGTTTTGGCTCCGCTCTATTTTTTTACTGGTTACAGGTTGAAACGTTTTACTATTTTGTCGTCGCCCATACTGGAAGTGACGACGATTCAAGATGGCGGCGCCCCTGTGGAAAACGTCTATAGTGGGAATAAACAGCTTTTTGTCTGGCATCCCTCCAGTTTTATGGAAACAAAGATTTGATTTTATTTGATTTGAAAAGAAAAAAAAAAAAAAAATTAACCCATCTAGTTTTAGTCTTGAGAATGGTTTACTACCTGTTTTTGGTGGGGAAACTGGTAAGAGGAACACATTTCTTATCAAAGCGATAAAGCAAATTAAAATAAAAACAAAAACTAATATATGACAAGCTCCCTCTTCCCCAGAAAACCAATAAGGATTTCACTGCAGTATTTATATTGATCATGCAAAGAAATAGATTTTATCAGAAACAGATCTTGGAAGAACCGCTAGAATAAATGAATTGATCACATATCCCAAGAGGATCAACAACTGCAGCAATTATGTCAGATCTGCAGCATTCTAGTTGTGGGAGCAGAAAGCAACCTTCTGGTTTCCTGAAAGGCAAAAATGTTAAAACATTTTCATCAGTTTTCCAAAGACCCTAGTCTTTTAAAGACAAATAGTGAATACGGCCTTCAGACATGTCACACATATCTGGTTCTCTCTTTTACATTTGAGAACTGCAACTGGCAACAAAACATGCTTGAAACAAAACAATCCAGCTAAAGGTTGAACGAGATGCCAAAAAGCTGCTTTTGTTATGCCAACCAGCAGTGTAGGCCATTCGCTTGATTTTGTGCAAGTGCAAGAAACTAAATAGGTCTTCACAATGCATGCCGTACAACTCGCATCTCTCCCACTAGCGACCCTTCCCAGCATTAGCACAATGCAAGCAATGCATACACAAACTGATGTACTTCGCACAGTCCACAGACTCACTGCAAAATTATTAATGAGGGCCGATTTGTCCGAACCATCATTTACTGCCCGAGGCAAGGGCATTCTTCCAGACCTGTAAAGATGGGAACAATGTCACAGACAAGGGGCAAGACCCCCCTCCCAGCCATTCATTCGGCCATTTCACAAAGAATCTGCAAGATACCAAAATGCAGCAACCTACTGCTTATGCTCGATATCAATGCTTTCGTGCTACACAATTGAGGTTAGCTCAGTTTCCGCACAGTATGCAGCGTGGGACTCGAGAAGTGTGGAAACTAAGCTAGCCTCAACAACCTGGCACAGAAAAGGTGACGCCGAGCATAGGGCTCTCGTATCACATTAATCGATCGAGTTCATTAATGAATACTACGAGGATGTCAACCTGTTTTGATAAGCTAACACCAAACTTAAAAAAAGAAAAGAAGACAAGACATTTTGAGGCACTCTTTAGAAACGTTCATGTTTCACAACACTTAAAGAAGGTGCTATGCAGTTTCTTGTCCACGCCGAAGACATTTTTACGCCGAAATATCAAGACCTGAAAAGCACAGTTTTCCTGGTGTTCTCCACAAACAAAGAATATTTCACTTCAAGCAGAAGAGAGACACGATGTAACAAGATGCGGCATCGACAGATGTACAGGCAAAACAGGCACAATCATGGACGATACGAGCTGAAACAGCCCTTCATGCTTTTTTGGCCTACCTGCCAATTTTTGAGAGATATGGTCTAAATTACGAATGAAGTCAAAAGCTGGGGTCTCAATCTTCAAACTACTTGACAAATTGAGAGATGATAGAGCCTCTGGGCACCGCAAGTACCAAAAAAAGGCTGGGATGTTTTAGCTCATATTGTCTGAGAGGGTTCAAATAGGGTGCGCATGGAAGTGTAAATTTTTGGCTTCAGGATCCTTGCTCTCCCATACCCCGTGAGCGCCAAAAAAATTTGAGCATTGGCGCATGAGTGTTTTCTGTAGCACCGAGACTCCGGGGAATCGGCTCAGGACTGCTTCTCTCTCGCAGGCGTCACAAAGGTCTCTTCGGTCCTAGAAAAAGAGCAACGTCGTTATATCTTTCGTTCGACATATATTACTTTCGAGCAACTTTGCCATCTTTCGAACGAGATAACAACACTTCTGGTATATGCTCAACACAGCCAAAAAGGGAAAGTGTGTAACTGACACAGATAAAATTGCTGCCTTTGAAACCACTTTCCTTTCTGCTTTATCTGACTAATTACTTTTACTGCGTAAAATTGCGCGCAAAAGTGTTTGATTAAAAAAAAAAAAAGGAAGTACTGTTTCCTCGTGTAATGCCCATAAGGGCCTTCGAGGAAAATAAATGATGGTGATGATGATGATGATGATGACAATATCCTGAGAGGTAGCACAACAGTTTCCTGCCCCATTTTTTGCTTCTGCAAAAGCACAGAAAGAGGTCATGCACAGTTAAACATGTCAACAAGTTTGTGGATTGCGTGGCGGGTGTCATCTACAAATTCCCGTTGTCATGCGGCCGGGTTTATATGGGAGAATTGAGACGCTGCGTCAGTGAGAAAATGCGTGAACATGCCCTTTCCCTGCGGTCAATGATGAGAAAATGCGTGAACATGCCCTTTCCCTGCGGTCAATGACAGGAGGGCACTTATGCGTACACTGCAGAGACTGCTTGTGTCACCCCGTCTTCAAAGATACCATAATCATTGGCAGGGGGCACACAGAAGTGGAAAGAGAGGTGCTGGAGGCCAGGGCCGTACCCAGAAAAAAATTTCGGGGGGGGTTTTCGGGGACAACGGTGGCCATTTTGAAAGTGTCTATTGTCTTATTTTCGCCTATGAATCATGTGCATCGGTGGCATATAATGGAGAGTTACAGGAAACCGGAGATCCGGTCCCGGTTTGGTACCCGGTAGCCGACCGGCGCCACTGCGCGTGCGCAGAGGTGGAGATTAAAATCGGCTGGCTGCCAGTGCACCGACCAGGGCCGTACACAGAAAAAAATTTCGGGGGGGGTCAGAACCCCCTATCCCCCCCCCTGGTTACGGCCCTGCTGGAGGCGCATGCTATCGAAAAAGCTGGCTCGGGGCACTGCGTCAGCCAGCCTTCTGTTTATCTTCACAAAAAAGAGATTGATTTTATAGATGCATGATGAGCGACACGCCATTGGTTGTTTCAGCATTGGTTGGCTCTGTAGTGTTTTCTTGTTTGGGCCGTTTTTAATAAAACTTCAGCTGACAGTCAGCACTTGTCCTGTGCTCTACTCTCATTGTCCTCATCTTTTTTGCGCGCTGTTCCCAATGTCTTAAGTCACGAACCAACTCGCCTGCATCGCCACCGTAATTCAGAAAGACAGCCCACTTTCTAAAATCACGTCACCCGAGTTCAGCTGGTTCGTGCAATAGGTTAGGGTGCGATTTCTTAAACCAACAGCGACTCTTCCTTGGATAACCTAGGCAGCAAATTAAAAAATTCTTCCCTTGTCTTTCCAAGCTTGTTTTGCTCGCAGTATGGTTTAGGGCAGGTAATGCGGACACGAGCAAACCAAGAATGAAGTCAATCGTTTTATTCCCTGTACTTTCAGGTTCGTGCACCAAACAGAAGGCCATCCTATTCCAAATGTTCCACAAAATAATACAATTTACTTTCTTCGACTGACGTGAAAAGAAGCAAGTGGTGCAAGGCACAAGCACAGAGAGCGTGCTATATAACATCTTTATAGATAGGCTAGTAAAAAAACTATACATTTGCAGCTGGTGTTGAAAACTGTAGCGCTTTATTTTTGGGAGGAGAAAGCAGATGTCTGGTTAGTAGAAAACAAAAATGTAAAAGAACTTGGCTAGTTTTTCCAAGGGCTAGTCCACACAGGCCAAGAGCTTTTCCAAGGTTTTCCAAGGGCTAGTCCACACAGACCAAAGGGAACAGACAAAAGACAGTCATAACCATGTCGCACAGGCCTGGATCGCAGCCGACACAGGGTAATTTCGGTTGAAAACATAGTAAGTTTTTCCTTAGATGGTGCCAGTGATGTTCCATACCATGTCTAAGAATTCCCCTTCTTGGGTACAAAAATTCTCCTTTGATGTTAAAGTAGGCAGGCAAGCTGGTTAAGGATAGACATAGTAACCTTGGAGGAAAGGGACAAAAAAAGACGGACAGACCCGAAGCTCCGTTTCATCTCAGTTCTTCCTTTTAGTGACCCCTCGCTCCAAGGTTACTATGTCGAAAAATTCCCTATTTGAGGTACTCTTTTCCTGTAAAATTTTAAAATATCCCTGCATTCTTTTACTTTCAATTTCATAGCAGCTGCGAAATTTAACTTTGCAAGCATTTTGCCACAGAAGCCACATGAAATTGCATGTTTAAGGAAAAGAAAATGTTACTGGTCAGTTTATATTTTTATTACCTCAATGATATAACTTTTAGACGTGGCTGTTTCCCTGCACCTAAAAGCCATTCAAACACCTTTGTTTCCTACACCGTGACTTTCTCACTTTTTCTTAAAACTTTTGGACCACAAGGTGTTTTTAATAATTAGTTCTCTCTAAAGTTTTTCTCGGGTTTTCTCGTTAAGATTTCAAATTCTTGCTAGTAATCGCATTAAAATTCCTATTCCCCTTTTCACTGAAACAGAGAACGAAAATTCTCTGATAATGGAAAAATTTCTCGCGTGGAACATCACTGGATAGTAAACACCTTGCACCAGGTCTGCACCCGACGCATGGTCCGCACATAAAACATACTCACACAAAGCACACCTCGACAAATGCCGGCATTATTAAAATGAAGCTCGCATTATATATAAATCATTGTTAACATGCTCCATCATCTACAAAATCTGCCATGTCTTGCCTCAATAAACAAACTAGAAAGGAATTAATAAGAGAAACCTTGGTTATTCTGCACCTGAAGATAATCCGTATTGCATAAAATATCAACTCTCGAAAATGTAAAGTCTGCTGACTATACAATATTTCAAACTTGGGCGTTGCCAGCTGGCAAGAAAGTCACCTTTGTACTTGACCACCAGAGTGCCAGTGCATTCACAAATGTGACCATTTTTTGTTTCCTGTTCGCCTTACGACACTGTTACTCGTCTTATTCCAACGCAAATGTGAAGCGTACGTTTCACATTCAGCCACTACGAGTTCAGGTGTCCACCATCGAGGTAGCCGTTGCTCCGAAATAAACGGACCATTACCGCGAGTTTATGGCCCTCACTATCAAGCGACGTGCATCACTCAGTCGTGTAGTTGAGGAAGCATTAGACGTAAAGACGTCGCAAAATACCGAGCATGCGCTCCCCACTTGTGTAAGCGCCCCCTCCCATTTTACGAAAACTTAACACTTTTGTGGCCGCCATCTTGAATATCATTTCCAAACCGAATAAGGGCCTCCTCCCTGTTTTGATCAGATGATCTCTAAATTTAAAGGGCGCGCTCGCTCGGTGTCTCGCGGTAGTTCGATAGCACCTGCGTCGAGCATCGTAGTTTGGTTGCGACTTGCGTTTTCATGCCAAACGCCGAAGCAGAGCCCGTGCCCGACCGGTGGTGCTCGACCGGTGCTTGGAATGCCATTCCGAGCAGTGTGTTTAGCGTCCTATTTCACCCGTGTGTCAAAAGCGGTCCCAAAATGGCAACGAACGACGTCCCAAATGCCGGAGTGGCGGATGTCGAGACCCTGGTGGTTGGTACTAGAAGTACTGGGAAAAAGCAGGAACGAACGCGGAGTCCCAACTCTCTGCTGTCGAAGCTTCCGTGGACTGCCACACTGGAGAGCGAGCAGCGGCAGAACGGGCGCCTGCCACCTCCACCACAGTCGCAGAAGCGTCGCGACGGCAACGGCGCGACGCTCATGCGACGTCGTAGGGGGGAATTCGAGGCACCACTTTTTTGGATGTGGTAAACGCTGAACTTCTGTGGGTGACAGAAAATTCAACGCTACGACCTTGGTATTGGATGAATGAATGTTAATGGCTGTGCCCTTTATAATGGCCACCTAGCCTCCAAACTAAAAAAAAAACATGATTTTTTTTTTTTTTAAGTTAGTTTTTTTTTATTTGTACTTCGGTGAATCCGGGAGGCGTCGAGCACAGCTGCTTGCCTGCCCTCGCCCGTTAGCCTCTGCTGTCTGCTACAGGTCGTTTTATACGGCAGTTTCCCAGAATACCCTTTGGTGCCCATGAAGGGTGCTGCACACTTTGCAAAAGGTCTATTAGTCCCGCAAAATATTCTTATACCTTCGAACGAAAGGAGGCTAATGCGAGATATCGATTTTTTGTATGAAGTTGCTAATGGCCCGTTACGTGTGCCTTTGCCCCTCCTTGAAAAGGTTAGGACACATCAGGAATAAACTACCAGACAACTATGCTGTTAGGATTCTCTCTATGTTCTTATATTTTCGCTAAATTTGTATTGAAAATGGCTCGGTAGTTTCGTGGATAATCCGATTTATATGTGGGAGGCTCCGATCCACCTTATTTGGGAAGGCCACCATTAGAGCCACTAAACAAGCTACGCTTCAGAGTAACGACACTTACCTATCGTGTGGCTTAAAATTATGGTTTGAAGCTATCTGAAACCACGAGAAATGCTTTTCCGTCCTCCGCTAATGTTTATAAAGTTTGCGACAGAGCAAAGCAATATTACGCCAGCTTCCTGACATTAAATCTGATGCTGAGGAAGTTGCACTATTGGAACAGGTCGACCGGCAGTTGAGTCTGCTCTGCACAAGCACCAATATGGTGGCACCCACAACAATATCGGAGAGCAGAGTGCTGACACTCTAAGCGTAGCTCATTTAGTGGCTCTAGCTGCCAGGTTTGTTGGGCCGTCCCTCACCCAAAGTGCGGCGTCCCCTAATGCTCGCCCGCAGACTTAGCTCTCTTAACGCCTCGCAACTCCTCTTTCTCCTTCACTTTCTGCGTTTCGAGCCCGCGGTTTCGAGACGACCTCCTCTATGACGTCGCTCGCTTCGTCGGAGACTTCGACACTGATCGCAATGGATACAAGAGTGATTACTATCGAGGGATGGTGGAAGACGGTAATTCCGACTTAGGACCTGCTGGCAACCAGCTCCAGCTCCAGCGACGACGACGAGAACATCGTGGACAAACTCGCCGCCGTCCGCTAGGATCTCGCACGTGCATGCAGGGTGGAAGGTCAAAGAGCGAGGAGGCGAGAGCGACAGTGCTGTTGGAGTAGCCGAGTAGCGTCAGAGTGTGCAAACGTACCGTGACAAGCCGAGAGAGCGTTGAACTAAATATCATGATAACGTGGTTTATGGGCACCACGATATGGATAACTTGGGCAGCGTTGCCTGGTCGCTAAATGAAAATTACCAACATCCGTAAATTGATTATTGTAATTACTAGAAGCCTTAAAACACTGAACTTTGGTGCATACAATAAGTAGCCTATGAGTGCTCTCTTTAAAGAATAATAAAGCCATTTATTGTTTGTGTGTTCAACAAAAAAATTAATTTTTTTTTTCTTGTTTTACTTTCCTAATTGTTGATATCTTGCATTTAATGACATGTCGACAGCTTCTTTATAACCGCAAAAAGAGTGACTTAGACCTATTTTGTCTCCTCATAACATTTA